GAGAAGGGAAGGAACAATCCTGCAATTTGGGTCAAAAATATGCTGGGTCCTATCACTTCTGAATTTGTGCCTAAATGTTCAAAAGGTCAGTCCGAAGTCTACCACATGCTTTGACAAAGCTACATCTAAATCACATAAAGCAGGGGTAGGCAACCTTTCCCCTTTAAGGGCCGAGGGACTTCAGCTCCCAGAATCCCAGGAGCTATTGGCCAACATGAGACTATTGGCTAACATGGCTGAGGCTTCTGGGAGCTGAAGTCCCTTGGCCCTTAAAGGGGAAAGGTTGCCTACCCCTGACATAAAGGTTAGCCTTCAAGGTGATATCGGTTGTCTTTCAGACTCTTCAGAACAAACCCCTACATTATTGTGACATTTTAATCTTTTTGGATCAACGGAGCTGCCTTTGCTCTTGCAACTGAAGTGTTGTGCATCAAACAATCAGTATTTCACAGTATCACAATCCTTTCATAACAAGCCGTTTCACCTGTAAACTATTCATATGGAGACAATCGTCTGTTTCGAGATCCAGGATTACAGACACCACAATGCAGCACAGTTGTAAGCAACACAGAGATGCAGAGAAATACAAGCCAGACACATTTTGAATTGGGACATGGATTTCATGCCAAACTATGCTGGTGTTGGAAGGGAAAAATGAATTGTGGCCAAGATCCAACATCAGGATGTTGTAGTATATATCTCTACATGTGGAGCTGATTGCAATCCTTGTGTTGAATGACAGGGTTGTGCAACTGAGTGTACAACTGGATGTGCAATCAAATGTATACCTGGATGCACAAGACAAGGTGTATCACAACCAGTTTCTGCAGGGGCTGACCGATATGCATGAACTGAGAATGTGCAGGAGGAACAACTTAGGGAGCTAGGTATGTTTAGCCTGGAGAAGGGAAGGTTCAGAGGTGATGTGATAGCCATGTTTAAATATTTGAAAGGATGTCATACTGAAAATGGAGCATGTTTTCTGCAATTCCAATGAAGAGGATCCAGATCAGTGGATACAAATGAAAGGAGAAGAGATTCCACATCAACATTAGGGAGACCTTCCTGACAATAAGAGCTATTTGACAGTAATTCTTCTTTAGTTGCATCAGCACTGCAGAAATAATGTAGTTTCAGATCACCTGCCATGGCTCCATCCTATGGAATGCTGGGATTTGTAGCTTGTTGCGGCACAAGAGCTCTGACAGAGAAGGCTAAATATCACATGAAACTACAAATCTCAGGATTACATAGCATTGGGACATGGCAGTTAAACCAGTGTCAAACTACATTATTTCTGCAGTGCAGATGCAGCCTTAGCCTCCACTTTGACTGTAAGGAACTCTTACCACAATCTTGTAATGCAGGCCAGGATAATTGTTTTCTGACTGTTGCAGGTATGGCTGCAGCACTAACATGATAAGGTATTGTCTAAGGCTTTGAGTCTTGGCTGCAATAGGACCTGATCTCACACAAGTAGGATTGCCAGTTCAGGATCACCCCATCCAATGAGATTTTTGAGCCAAAGTCAAAGACCTTGGGATGGCCTCTGGTGATGTCATTAAGTGTTACATATTAAGTAGCAACCACGTTTGCTCATAGCTTGTCATTCAAACACAATACAAAAACACCATATTTCCTGTTTGGAGATTAACAGAAATCTTAGAAAAAGAGGCTGTACGCAGATCTAGGTGATATGAGAGGATTATTCCTTCTCATCTAGTTAAAACAGGAATTTGCTGTTATTAACTGCCCTTGAATCGATCATGACTCATGGCAACCGTATGGATGAGACATCTCCAAGACCCTCTGTCCT